ATACAGGCACGTCAGGAAAACGCTATTTGCCAACAAAGAACAGAAAACTAAAATCTGCACATAAACCAATAACAAGATCACCTTACAAGTACTGTAGGGTGGTAGGGAAAAAGAGTTAAGCATCTAGCTATCAAAATACTTTCAAAGTTTAGGTGTACTGTGTCAATGAAAGGCATTATTATTTTGAATAGTGGGACTCATACTCCAAGCTCATGCATTTGTGTGTTGTCTATTTAAATGCCCCTCATGGAGTTCCAGTATCATTCGTTTCTGCTAGTGTGGAAAAAACGATTACAATTAGTCATGTGCATGAACTTTTCTTTCTTATTTTGAATATGCTAACCCCCAGCAAGGATCACTGTATTGGGGAAGAAAGGGAACTCTAAATGCTCACTCTAAATACTTCTCTATTATTCAGTGTCTTCAATGAGCAGTATTTATTACTTACATAATTTAAAATGCACATTAAAAATAAACAAGTCAACCACTTTGTTCCTAAAAAAGTCATAACTTGGTATTGAATCGAAAACCTACTGTACTTCATGCCTTAAAGACAAACAGAACTTGAATGTCTGAAAAAATAAACACCACGTCATCAAAAAAGGGAAAATAATGTTCAACTGAAAATTAGTATTTATTGCAACTATCTTTAGAGGGGAAAAGCAAAAGTTTTCCTAACTGAATTGTGAGCAAGCAATTCCTTCAAGGCAAATAAAGGAGTAAAAATGTTCTTTAGAATTAAAAAAATAAATATTATTCCAACAAAGAAGTTGCACAATTAGGGAATGCAGACATTGTCAACAGTCTTGTAGTTAGGACACAAAAAGTAAATTAAAAATTTGTAATTCACATTACAATCTGTTACTGTAATAAAAAACAACCAAAAAAACCTAAATATCCAAATACATATGCTTGAAGTGGGATGTTTTTAATGGAAATAAATTGGGCATAGGCTTCAAGTGCCCAGATTTGCTACATTTATAACAATCCACTAAAGCCTATAAAGCTGGATTACTACAACCACAGGACTCTCCTTTGTGTTTTGGAGGAATATTTATTCTTTTTAAATTCCATGTTAAAATACTGGCATGCATTTAGCTAACTCTAAAATAAATACACTTTAAGAGTCAAAGATTAACCTGGGTTACTCTTCACCTACAAATTTCCCTAAATACATCTCAGATTTAAATATGAAAACAAAGCAATGATCTTTTGAAAAGATGGGAGATATTTAATCCAAGATTGCTCAAGATGGCACTACTGACATTTGGGCCAGAAAATTCTTTTGTTGTGGGGCTGTCCTGTGCAACAGCTGTAACCTTGGCCTCTACCCACCAATGTGCCAACAGCACCCTCCCTTACCCTACAGTTGAGACAACCAAAAATGTCTCCAAACATTAATAAATGTCCTTCTGGGGGGCAAACCCCGCCCCTGGTTGAGAACCACTGATAATCCAATGCTTGGATCATAACCAAAAACTTTAAATCATGAATTCTGATTTTTGAAGTTGGATAGAATTACAACTGAAGACACAAGGGAAAGTGGGTCCACTCACAAACTTAAATGGGCCAAAAATACTGAGCTACACAAAACACACTCCTCTTCAAAATTAACGCTGTGTTCTAACGAGATCTCAGAGTAGAGCTGCAGCTTACTCGTAGAGAAAACTACTTGCTTCCACTAACACACACACACACACACACACACACACACACACACACACACACACACACCCCTCTGCCATCTTTATTCTCCTGATCATTCACTGGAACTGTCTGCTGGCTCCTGGGTCAAAGAGCTTCCCTCCAAGTTCAGGGGTCAGCACTCCTGCTCATTCTTCAGGATCCCCTCACGCTGATCTGTATGGTCTCTTCTACCGCACGTTCTCTGGTTTTGACTTTCGAACATCTTATTCATAAATTTGGTCTTCATTTTCAATCTTTTCACTTTTTCAGCAACATCTTTACACAAATTCTAGTATCGATAACCTCATATATATTCTCTTGAAATCCAAATCCATATATATATATATATATATATATATATATATACACACACACCCTAATCTAAATTTCCTATTACTAATCTCATTTCATTCACTGAAAAACATTTACTGAGTGCCTTTTCTGGGCCAGACACTGTACAAGAAGTATACCTTGGGCTACAACAGTGGGGGGAGAAAGAAACACAGTAGGACCAAGGGAAGGAGGCACTGGGAGGTTAGGGTAAAGAGAATGATTGGTTAGTTCTTCATTCAGACCTTTGCTATTAGAAAACCAGGTGATCTGGAGAATTCACTACCCAACTTCTCCACCTTCCCCACAGGTGAAAGGCTGAAATCCTGACTGTCCTTTCTGACATGGGCTTGTACCACTTTCTCCTCACGTCCTCACACTGATCCTTCCCCTGGAAGTCTTCATCTGCTGACATGTTCAAATGGAGCAGAAGATTCTGCTTCTGAAAGCTCCTGTCCCTCGAATTACCTGAATCCCCAGTCTCACACTGTTTGTTGATAGCCTACATCAGATTTTTTAACTTCAAATGCCTAAAACCTTAAAAACACCACTTCACGGACTCGGCTATCTGCTTCTAGCCAGGCAACTTCTACTACTCTAACCGAGTGCAATCTAATCACCAGCCCCTCATCCCTGAAACTTTATTTTGAACATTTTAAAGCAATTTGTCTTATCTTCAAGGTCTAATTTACCTCTACCAAGAAGCTTTTTCTGCAAGGCAAAAGGAAATAAATGTGTTCTCCAGCACATTAAAAGTATGTCTTTGGTAAGCAAGTTATAAATGTCAACTTAAGTACATAATAAATGTGGGACCAGAAATAATTCAAAATACTCAATAGTTATTTACTGCTAATTACTTTTTTACTCTGTAATAAACTTAAACTCCTAATGGCCTTTGAATTTACCTCAAAAATTCTGAGTTTGGGAGTAATTTCTTCAAGCAAATGTAGTTCTTTAGAAATCTTGACCTTTAGTTTGTTCCACTTTCCTTGAATATCCTCAAATTCTTGCTTATATGTTTTTTCTTCACCTGGAGAAATGTTTTTCTCCAAAGCCTTTGTTTCTTCTGCAAGTTTACATAACATAGGTTTCTGATTCTCAAGGATTTCATCTAGGGCCTGGAAAACATTTTTTCAAGATTAAAAATGTGCACAATAATTTGTTCAGATGTAGTAATACTGGCTATAAACAGTGAAAAATCACTTTTTAAGGAGAATTTGATCAGAAAGGAATTGTGAAACACTCATGAAGAAAGAAGAAGCATAAATCAAAAAAGTCACAGCTTTCCCAAAATGAGTTGTGTGTGGTTTAGACACAATATACTCTTTACACTAAAAACCAGCAGGACAACACACTCAAGGAGGACCCAGTGTGCGGAGCTCAATGGTGGATCCGTTGCAGCTGATGAAATACTCCAGAAGCCACATACTTTACATGATCAAGGAAGCATTCTCATTCAACATCGAAAAAGAACAAGATATTTTATTAGATTGAGAATTTTAAACTAGTCACAGTAGAAAGAGAAATAGGGTTTTATTCTATTAAAAATGTTTAATAATTACCATTTTTTAGCTGAGGTCCTACACTATAGTAACTAACTATAGTTAACTATAATTATTTCGAATTATAATAAACACAAGAAATTTTTAATAGCTGAAAAATATTTCAAAATACATGATAGGAGATATTAGAAATGAGCCGAGACTTCTAAAACCTAAAATATACATTACCTTTCTTTCTTGCAGGGCCTTTTCCACCTTTTCAAGATCATTCAAGACATTCAAAGACGTCTGGGCCTTATTCTCGGAATCATTTAGCAGATCTTTCAGTGCTTTCAATGTTTCCAAATATGCACGTCCAGGTCGGCTCTTCAGTTCTGTTTATTTAAAAATACTTACTCTAAGAAAATAGTGTTAGGAAACTCACAGTGTTAAATATACTGCTAACCTTCTGTATATAATAAGTGACATAAAAAGTTAAACTCCATAATTAAAATTAAAAAGGGTCTCTGTTAGAGATAAAATAAATCATCCCCTTGGCATTTCTGAGAGTCAGACAGTGACTTCATTCCTGCGGACGCTGATGTTTGAAATATTAAGTAACCCACCATCATTTTTCTTCATGGCATCATGATGAAATGTCTCTCTAAAGATGGTACTACAATGTTCCTTTTGTCTCATATAATCTCCTTTTCCTCAGTAGCTACACAAAGAATAAAAGGAAACAAAGATCCCCTCAGCCAGTCTTCCTCTAAGTTCAAGCCTGCAGACAAACTGCAGAGGGGAGGACGTTACCCAGAATGTCACAGCCTGGCCGCACAGGTACCCTGAGAAATAATGCCTGCACAGGCCAGCTGGAGTGATGCCTACTTCAGCCACTAACGTAAAATTGACAGACAAGCAACACTTGTGTGGAAAGGAAGTCGGCTCATCTGCAGTACAAAAGACATGAAACCAACTAGCAGCAAAAGTTAACAAAATGGAAGCATTAGTCACACCAGCCAAAGGGTGGAAACAACCCAAATGCCCATTGATACATTAAGAGATAAACAAACAGTGTATACACACAATGGAATATTATGCAGCTTTTAAAAGGAAGGAAATTCTGACACATTACCCAAATAAATGAACTTTGAGAATGTTATAAGTGAAATAAGCCAGTCACACACACACACCCACACACATACACACACTCACAATACTGGATGACTCCACTCAGATGAGATATCTAGACCAGTCAAACCCATTAGAAACAGAAAGTAGAATGGTGGTTGCAGGTGGCTGGAGGGAGGAGGAAATGGAGACCTGTTGTTTAAGAGCTACAGAGTTTCAGTCTTACAGGATGAAAACGTTCTGGGGGGTGGGTTGCACAACAATGTGAATGCATTTAACACTAATGAACTCTACACTTTAAAATGGTAACTTTTATGTTATGTATATTCTAACCACAATTAAAAACAGAAACAAAAAATTACAAATTTTTTTTAAAGTTAAGAAACTAAACATTTAAACTGCCTTGTCAAAAATGAAACCATATTTTGTAACAGTGAACAGAAAAAGAGGTACTCTCAAACACTTCCCAGTCTAGGTTAACTGAATTCAATAAACAAAGAGCAGGGTGTCCAGAAGAAAGGAAACAAGTCAAATTTGCTTACCATGCACTCATACAGATTGCTACACAATCTACCGCTGCTGCAAGGAAGGGTATGGTTATGTGAACAGCTTTTCGCAAGTACTCCCCGTGACATTACACAGTACAAGTCCTGACTTAAACAAAAGCCAGGGAGAAGAAATATAATATATAAAGGGTGAGCTTTCAAAACATTTAACAGTTAACTTTCCCAAATCAGGTTTACTCCAACAGTAAAATCTCTTTTAAAAAGTTTTTCAGACTTTAGAAGAGGAACATGATTTCTTTTAAAAGAAGGGACTGTACTGCTAAAATGTTCAGCATTTTGAGCAAACAGAAGTAAGCGATCATTCTTTTTTGCCCTGTGGGTCATGATATCAGCTGGCCTCCTGGAGAAACAACACCCTTTAAAAAAAATCTCCTTAAAACCCACCATCATATCCAATTAACACATGAAAGCTGTCTGGATTTTTACAAACAAGTGTGAAGCCAGGAAACAATCTGAATGCACTTTGAGACCTGGAACAGTAGCAGGCACAGAGGAAAAGTGAGGCTGGTACAAAAATAAGCAGGTGTCCTAAAGGTCTAAATACTGGGGGTCATTTTCAAGCTAACGCAAACTGAGACAGGAGATGGTGGAATCATCTACTAAAGAATGCAAGAGAGTGAATGGGTTTACCGTTCTCTAGCTGTTGGTGACGCTCCGCTAAGTCCCGTTGCACAGCTTGGTAGCGGCCCACAAAGCTCGCCAAACCCTGCTGGACAAAATCCGGGGCAGAAGGCCGGGACCTCAGGGCCGAGCAGCTCGCACGCAGCATTTCAATTCTGGGGTGGAGGCTGCGGAGGTCCGTCAGTTCCCGCTATGGAAAGAAAACATGATCACGTCACTCACGGAAGAAGAACATCCTCGCAGAAAGTTAATCGGCGCAGAATTAACCTAGCATTCCCGATGCAAGGAGCACCTTCTTTAACTACGGGACCGGACACAGAATTCTTTCACGTTCCAGACGGTTGTTTCTTTACCTGACAGGAGTCCTTCAAGCTTGGCAAGGACTGCTGGGAGACTCTGAAAAAGGAGTGTGTTTTACCCACTCCTCCTTTGCCTTTACGGTCTTTTCAAGTTCATCAAGCTGCTTAAAATAAATATTTAGATCTTCCTGTAGCTGAATCCTTCTCGCCAGATCGTCCAAATGCTGCGATACATTCCTCCATTCTGATAATACCTTCTCCAGAATATTTTTTATTTCTTCAGTGGGAAGACCTTCTATGCAGACATCAAAAGTAAGCAGACACATCATGTATTATTACAAAACTTGTTTCGGGTTTGTTATAAACATTCTAACACATTCAAAATAATGAGGCAATGTCATATATAGTGATCACTCCCATACGTCCCTTTCAACACAACAACAAAAGTTATAATGATGCACTTAAAAGTAACTATGTTTAATCCCTGAACAAAAATGGGAGAAGGGGAGCTAAAAATAGCTGAGGAGTAGGAGGGCTATCACAAAAAGCACATCAGTGGAGTGTCAGCCACTGCCTGTGGGTCATGTGTGTTTCCATCCCTGGCAACCTACTTACTGTTCTACTAATTTCTAGTCTGAGCCAGAGAAATAAAATGAACTGTCTGGACATGTCTGGGGATCTGACATCAGAAGACAGACCCTCTGTCATCAGGAAAAAGACAGCTGGCTAGAGAAAGAAGGAGGCAGCTTGAGTCTTTGGTGACCAAACCACAGTGTCACAGGAATTGCAAAAGGAAGGCTAGAACTCCTAGTGCTGGGAGCAACCTGGTGAGTGCCTCAGCCAGCAGCCAGGTGCGAGAAGCATCAGCAAGCTTACTGGGGATGCTACACATTGACCAGAAAATGCCAAAATACCAACACAGTGCTAAGGTTATCTAGTTTAGAAACTCACTGGAGAAAAATGCCATTTTGTTTATTACTGACATCTCATAATTTAGTCTGCCTCATATTTCTGAGAGGTAGATAATGTTCACAGAAATAATAGTTACATACAGTAATGGGGCCTATCATAGTCCTTCTCTTAGTATAAAATACCATCAAGTCAGTGAAAATTACCACGAAAAAATATGGGAAATCTGCAAAGGAATCTTTATCTTGTGAGGAGAACGTGCATGTTGAAAAGATGAGCTTAACATCTTTATTATTTGAGCAGGAGGGCAATAAAACTTTATAAACATATGCAATCAAAATCCAGGGTAATGAGAGCTCTGAGGGGAAAAAAATGGCATGTAAAATAAGGGTCCACTTATTTTACATGCCATTTACATTGTCACTTAGGATCCACAGAAAATTCAATTCTGAAAATTTCCATAATACGTGGTATCCACTGAAAATGAGAAATGCAAACATGACATGACATAATTTGAATATATCACCCATGCCAATTGCTAAAGTAAACTATCCACCATCACATAGGTAATTGAATAGCACACCTAGCCAAAACATTCACACCACAGTCCAAGGTCAAAGATCCCTGTTTACGGAGGTCATAAACTAAACTACCATGTTTCTGGAAAACTATCTGAGCAATGGAGATCTGGGCTGTGCTTCTGCCAGGTCATTCCTACTTTAAGTGGGCAGAGGAATAATATCAGCCACTTCTTTTACATGCCAGGGAAATTTATGATAAGAAAAAAATTAAGCTGGTAAATTAAAATTTTGAGGTGGAAAAATTATCACCACTAATCTAGAAAGCAGGTAAGAGGCACTTACTTTAGGTACAAAGGAAGCTGAAGAAACTTCTTCAGTAATTTTTTTATTCACTGGTAATATTTGTTTATTGAAGTATAGTTGATTTACAATGTTGTGTCAGTTTCTGGTGTGCAGCTAAGTGATATATATATATATATATATATACACACACACACACACACTTTTTCATATTCTTTTTTATTATAGGTTATTACAATCTATTGAATATAGTTCCCTGTGCTCTACAGTAGGTCCTTGATGTTTATCTGTTTTATATATAGTAGTTTGTATCTGCTAATTCCAAACTCCTAATTTATCCCTTCCCCACGCTCTTTCCCCTTTGGTAACCATAAGTTTGTTTTCAATGTCTATGAGTCTCTTTCTGTTTTATAAATAAATTCATTCGTTTCTTTTTTTTTAGATTCCATCTATTAGTATTATCATATTTGTCTTTCTCTGTCTGACTTACTTCACTTAGTATGATAATCTCCAGTAGATCTCACTATTCTATTTATCAGAGAGAAAGAAAGAGAGAAAGAAAGAGAAAGAAAGAAAGGCAGGAAGAAAGGCAGGAAGAAAGAAAGAAAGAAAGAAAGAGAAAGAAAGAGAGAAAGAAAGAAGCTGTACTAATAATCCAGGACCGTGGTACCTTCGCATAATTTGTAAATAAATTAGATGTACATATAGTGGACACAAATGTACACATAGTAGATACACACTTATTTTTGTATATATGTGTAGGTGACTTGTATACATACAAAATAAGCTGGACTATTTTTCAAAACGCAGAGGGAAAAATAATCTAAGTTTTTTAAAATGTGGTTTTTCTGGAGGTGGAAGAGGGTGATTGATCCATTAGGAACACCAGGAAACTTTCTGGAGAGGTGGAAATATTCTATATACCAATACGTGGTCGTAGGTTTGTCAAAATAGCACAGTTTCATGTATTTCAATTAAGTCAATTTTACTTTTAAAAAGGTGAAAATAATAATAATCAAGCAGGTGAGGAGTGAGTGGAGGTATAGACAATTAAAGAATGGCAGAATATCATTCATTACTGAAGCTGGGTAATTGGTACAAGGAGGTTCACTGTACTCTTCTACTTGCTTTGTATATATTTACTTTTTCTATAACAAAAAGTCAAAAAATAAAAAGGCTAAAAACTATATTTTTGAAGATTCTGGTCAAACTGGTATTCCTAATTCTGCCTTAGGTGTCTGCAGCTTTTGTCAAGGAGAGTTGCTACAGACCTCCAAAGCACTTATCATCGCTGGGATAAAGAACAGGGCTTATAAACTTGTAAGAGAAGTCTTTCAAAGCAGCGAGGCCAAAGAAAGAATCATATGCAAAACTGCATGGCAAAAATATTAATCTTTACATTCCTCTGAGCCACTAGGTCCACGGCACTAAAAATCCCCAAATATGACCCTGAAGATGAAATTTTTAAAGCTTCTACACCAGTGGATTTTAACTCTTCTGCTGAGGCATCAGCGTTTTATGTAGGTCCCCTTACCCGTATAAAAGCAGAACAACTTTGCTTTTATCTGTTCTATATAATCAACTTAAGCATAAATTTTCATTTCTAAAAGGATTCCGCTGCCTAAGAAAATTTTTTGAAAACCACTTTTCTAGCAAAAAGAGGGTTAGAATGTTAAAATAAATAGTATTCAGTACCATCTAAGAAAATATTAAAAAAAAAAAATCAAGGTTCTCACCTTTTCCCATTTGCTCCAAAAGGATTTGTCCAGTTTGGTTTAATTCCTCTAGTCTGGGGTTTCTTTCTGTCTGTTCTTTTTCTAATCCCTGAAAATAAAGTTACAATATAAGAAAACTGCAGATTTTCTTCTCAATATAATTGTGATGCTTCTTGAAGTTTTTATACTTAATGTCCCTCCCATATTCATTAGGTGTTACAGTCAAAGTCTGCCTAAGAAAATACTGTAAGATAAAGCTATGCCATTTCAGGCTGCCCTCCAGAAGGGCAAAGACGATTAAATTTAAAGGCAAATTCAAACAACATAAAACTTTCGTTTCTTTCAGAACAAAAAAAAATTGTATGCTCCATTTGTAAGTCTCCATCAGTAAGACATAATTAAAGCTACCGTTTTAGATCCAGGATATCCATTCACATACATGGCCTCAGTATACTCCACATGATAAAAATAACACTTTGAGTCAATTGAATTGAATGTGCTATGACAATAGAGATCCCTGAACAAAAATAAATTAAGCAAAATAGAAATAAATTGAGCCTCAATATTATTTGTTGGTATTATATTAGGTGTAGGGTCTAATGCAAACTTTTAAACACTGACAGTATGTTTTAGGACACAAATGAAGGTATTTTGTTCTGTATGTTTGAAGACTGGCTCTTAACTTCAATATTTATGTCTCTATGGTTCAATATTATCAATGTCCCCATATTTCAGAGACAGGGGAAGACAAATCTTCCAGAATTAGTAGGAAAGGGCTGAGCAAAATCATGGACACACACACATACATACACACATTCATGTATACAGTATTTGAAATTTCTCCAATTGATAATTATCTATTAATTAACTAGTGTCCGAAATAGTACAATCAAAACTTCCAGGCAACCCATATCATTTCAATCAGACAACCTGGAGAAGAATCCCACTTCTAACACCTATGCACGTAAGTACTTAAATTTAGCCCTCCTAATTTGATCCACACAAACTTCAATGTGACTAAGTGGGCAACCATTTTTACAGTCAAAGATTAAGAAAGTACAAGAAATTCTAAGAAACATCACTTATTTTTGTTAAGCTAACGAGCAAACAAAAAGTCACCATCTAACTGGAGAAAAATTATTACCTGCTTTATACAAAATGATTTTTCGCTACATTTCACGGTGGTGGTAGACTGGACTAGGGATTCTCCACCACTGCGTCAGTTGGAACAAGTTATTCCCAGCACTAAAACAAATGAAGTTGATATTCCCCAAGTTTATAAGAAAAATTAGTGATTAAAGCAATGGTTAAATTTTCTTTATTCTACATTTTCCCCAACCCTTTGGCATCTACTACTACTTGTCTAAAACAACAAATTTATAAATAAAGGGAAAACAGAGGAACTGCCAATCACACCTTATATAAACATACACAATTGTTCATTTTTATCCCCTCAAATATTATAGGAATAGTTTCTGGAAGTAAAATTGCTCCTAGATCACAGGATGGAATTTAACTCACCAATATTTTGTGGGGCTTGTTCCATAAAGATCACTGTCACTTCCAAATTCTCTGCCACTCTACTGCCTTTGAGAACTGGATTGCTGAATCATCGTTAATATGATCTACTGGTCTATCAGAAGCATATGAAACGATGGAACACAGCCCTCATTTCTGCTCTCCTGACCCCTGTGCAGAGAGGGCTCTGATAATGGTGCTTCCACATTCCCCCTGCCCATAGTCACCCTCCATAAGCCAAAAACTCTACTGAGTGCTGAAAATTTCCATGGAAAATTATCCTCACTTTCTAAGCACTCGCAGCAGGGATATAAACAAATAATGACACAAATGCAGTGAGGGCTTTCACAGAGGTGTGGTCAAAGCAGTATGGAATCTTCCTAATGAGGCGAAAGGAGGCTTTTGGAAGGAGAGGGCATTTCAGCCACACAGCACAGAGGCTTAACAAAGGGCCATTTGGAGCCAGGACAGCAACACGTGGTGACAGTAGGGGACTAAGAAAAGTGCAGGAGTCAGGAGGGCTGAAGCCCTAAAGAATGAATGAGGGGTGATGAGGCTTTGCCTAGAGGTAGCAAAGACAGCTGTCTGGAAGGCCTTGTATGCCGGGGCACATGGTCTTCACATTTTATCCCCATAGCAAGGGGCAGTCATTAATTAACTGCAAGCACTTGAGCTGAATAATCAGATCTATATATATATACATTTTTTAATTGAAATATAGTTGATTTACAATGTTGTGTTAGTTTCTGGAAAACAGCACAGTGATTCAGTCTTACGTATATATATTCTTTTTCATATTTTTGGTTATAGGTTATTACAAGATATTGAATATAGTTCCCTGTGCCATACAGTAGGATCCTTTTTTTTTTAAATCTATTTTATATATAGTAGTTTGTATCTGTTAATCCCCCACCTTTCCCTTTGGCAACCATAAATTTGTTTTCTATGTCTGTAAATCTGTTTCTGTTTTGTAAATAAGTTCTTTGGTTCAGATTTATATTTTCAAATGATCACTGGTCACTGAAGCCAAGGGCTGTGAGAATTTAAGAAGGGAAGGTAAATAATGGCAAACACTGCAGAGAAAGGAGGTCTGACAAGAGTGGAAATCCACCTTTGGATTTTGAAAGCAGTGGTCAATGGTGACCCCTACATAGGAATAGCTACAGTGGAATGGTAAGGCAGAGATTAGCCCCAGCTTCTCATCCAAACATTCAGAGTCAGCCACGGTCTGACCCCAAGCCACCTCTCCAACCTTAACTCTCTATTACATTTACACACACACCTAGCATGAAATGAAACAAATTATTTGTTCCAAGGATCATAGAACCCTTGCCCAGCTCCTAGCCTCTGCTCAGGGGCACTGCCTGCCTGCTGTTCTCTTCCACCCAGCTCCAAGTCCCCTCGTCTTCAGGGTGACTTCACCCTCTGGAATTCACCAGTGTACAGAACAACTGCAATATTGGCCTCAATTCAATTCCCACGGTACCTACCACTTTCTAACTCACATCATCCACATCTACACACACACCTTGTTTCTCCAGACTCTTTACAAGCTCCATTACGGGTGTAGATGGCAATACAGACTGCTCTAGGTGCCCCAATAATTCATAAAAGCATGTACAGGGAGTTAATGAACACCAATAATATAAATCGCTACAATCTCCTGTTTCAATTTACAGTAACACACATAAGGTACAAAGTAGCAGCGCTACGCTCACATATATTTTTATTAAAACGTATTCATTTTTTAAAAGACATCCTTTTTCTAAATAATGTATATAGAAGAAATTTTGAGATTTGAAATAATCTGCTGTATTTCGAAGGCAAAATATCTTCAGCATACACCCATATATTATTAGGTACCAGATTAAGGCAGATCTAATTAAGTGAAAAAAATAGTAAAAATAACTGGATCACTTTAGCAAGTGTCCCTTCCTGCACATCTCAATGGTTAAGGAAGGATGCACAAAAACTCCTCCCCCATACAGGGATCTGATGCCAGCCAGCTTGAATCAATTCAAAATTTACTACAATGTTCTAAAAGCTATCTTAGGGCTGCATTTATTTTACAGAAAGATTTTGGATCCTATCACATCTTTATGCCGACAACAAAGCTATCTTGATGAAACATTTTATTTAATAGGATATTTTTATTTTATGTTTTACCTTCAACTTCTTTTTCATTTCTGATGTTTCTTGCATCTTCTTATACTCTTTTATCTCTGTGGCCTGAATGGCAGTCTTTGATTTCAAAATCCAGTTCAACAGCTCAGCACTTACAGCATCAAACCTGATTTAAGATTCAGATGTTACCAACTGTCATTCGTTTTCTTCTGTTGTTTCACTTGGCTCAAGAAAGAGAGCTACCAAAACACCTATCAAGCGTGTGTTTTTAAGCTCTCCTCAGAAACAGTGGCAACCCAGAAACACAGTAACCACACAAGGTAAGAGCATACATTTACAACTAAAGGTGTGAAAAGAGGAACAATACTGGAATGTTAATAAAGAAAATAAATAAAAATTTTAAACATTATAAGAAACCACTTATATTTGTATAAACTCTAGCAGATAATGAAAAACAGATTCGGTTAGCTAATAATAGAAAAGAACAAGAACAGACATTCCTAAATTAATGCCTTCTTTAGTTCAGCATGTAATTACTGAGTCTCCTATATACCAGGCACTGAACTGGGCTCTGAATAGGAAGTTAAACCAGACACAATCCCAGCTCTCACGGAGCTTTCAGTCTCATGAAGGCAATGGAAAGTAAGAGCAGTAACAAAAGAATCTGCTGGGTGCCAATCCCAGGAATTCACAGGAGGCCTTGTAATCCAACTGGGGGAGACGGCTTCCTGGAGAACAGCAACAGTGTGCCCAGGAGTTTTCCTTGCAGAGAGAGAACAAAGGAAGGGAGGACCACCCCTGGCGCCCTGTGAGTGTTAGGTGTGGCTGGAATAGCAAGTACCAGGCCAGGAGGAACAACTGACAGTGCGGCAGGGAGCCACATGGCCCGGTAACCGGAAGGCCCTGCAGGGCAGATTAAGGAGCTGAACCTTAACCAAAGGGAAACTCAGAGCCAGTCAAGGCTTTAAAGCGTGAGACTGACAAGATTGTGTTTATCCTTCTGTGTTCACTGAGGGGAAAGAACAAAGAGAGGGAAGATCAGAGAACAGGCTGTGGTAGCAACGGGGGCCAGAACTGAGTGAAAATGGAAAAGGAGAAAAGGGGACAGACTTGAGAGGTGTTGAGAAGGTCAGTTAAAACCACAGCGAGGAGGAACAGGAGAAACATTCCCCGGTGGCTGGCCATTTACCAGGCCCTTTTCTGAATGTTTTATATGCATTATTAACTCAACAACCCTGAGGATACACTATTATTATCCCTTCTAATGATGAAGGAATTGAGCTCACAGAGGTTTTAAATAACTACTCCAAGCCACAAAGCTAACAAATGGCAGAGCTGGGATTCAAACTGAGGAGTAGGTCCTCTTAACTAGTACTCCGCCCAAAAGGCATCTCAAAACAACTTCTGGGTATTTTTAGAGAGTTTAAGGTAAGCACAGAGGTTGTTCTTGCTGATTCTTTTGGGAAACTTTGCTCAAAGGATTTCTAGTGAATTATGAATATTTGTCTTTTCATAAAGGTAAATTTTTCTTGTAATTTGAACAGGATTTTGTGATACTCTAGGTAAATAACCAGAGGGTCACAGCATCGCTCAAACAATAGTACACTCCTCCTGTCATCTTAACAGCAGATTTCTGTTTAATCCCTCAGAGAAGAGGAGCACCAACCAAAGACCACAGATTTTAAGTGACCTTGGAGACTTAGTCCACTTCTGCCTTCAGTATGAGGAGAGTGATGTGAATGCATCAGAGCTGCAATGATCCCAGATCATGTTAACAGACATGTATCTACATTATAGGAAATGACTGCCCCTATGATGATTTTAAAAACCAGGCACCAGAAGCACCAGGAGGAGAGAAGGGGAAATACACCATCATTTCTGAAGCACGTAGTATAAGTTGTGATAAGCAGTTGTTCAAGGCTTACATCTGCTTAGACAGCCCATTTAGAGACAGGCTAATAGTGGTCTCTATAGCAGACTAAAGATGTTAAAGGATCTGGAAACCACGTCACACTAGGCATGGTTAAGAATACTCTAGACTTTAGGACAACAGAAATCAGAATATGAGACCCATCCTTAAATTCTGAAGAGGTACCATATTGAAGAGGGGTGACGTGGCTCTATATTGCACCAGAAAGCAAAACCAGCACGCATGGGCAGACTCAGAGGGGGCAGACATTGTCCAGGTATAATTTCTAATAATAAAATTTCATTGCCTTCTGCAACAATGAACTAGACATGCTCAAGCCTCTGTTTGTCCAGGAATTGACTGAAGGGATTTCTGCATCAGTCAAATCATGGGTAGAATACTGTGGAACTCACAAATGGTTGCCCCCCAACAGACACCTCCCTCCCCACACTTCTTCCTTGCTGCCCGAGTCCCCCAGAACACAACGACAGAGGCTGGAAAGGCAGGACCGTTTCAACCTCCCAAGCACCCAGAGCCTGGGCAAGTGACTGAGTCCTGGCCAGTAAGACAAGGAGTAGGGGGAGTTAATTGATGTTTTCCAGAAAAGGCCCTTCTCCTGGATTTTAAAAAAAATAAAAAATAAGGGAAAACTGCCCTGCCTGCCTATATAGCAGGTTACACAAGGATGTTATGCTCAGTGCTACAGGAGCATCTTGGGACCAGGAGAAGACAAGGTAAAAGCCAACATGCTGAGGAGGGCAGAGACAAGATGTCAGGATGTGGGACCACACCATTCCATCAAAACTCCCCGACCTCCAGACTTCTTGCGATGTGAGATAATCAATGACCTCACTGTTTATAAGTCACATTGGGTATAGCACTCTGCTTCTTACAGCAGAATGCACCCTATATGACACAATCATGTTTAAGATTTTATAGTTATGCATTGTGATATTGTAATTTATAAGAAATCTATATTTGATCTCCATCCCTGTTTCTGGCACAGAGCTCCCAAATCCCTTGGAATTTCCTAAATAATGAGAGAAATGAAGGTGTTTTTTGTTATGTTAGCAAGATGACTTCTGGATCTCCCCCTAAAGATGGGGGCTGGTGGTCAAGAGAATCAACTCTGAGATAAGAGGAACTTCCAGTCTTGCCCCTTTGACCTCTGGGGAGGGGAGAGGGGCTGGAAGTTAATCAACTGCCAAAAGCCAATGATGTAATCATGACCATGTCATAAAGCCTCCATAAAAACCCAAAAGGATGGGGTTTGGAGAGCTTCAGGATGGTGAATATTGGGGAGAGTGGGGCACCCGAAGAGGGCATGGAAGCTCTGAGCCCCTTCCCCATGCCTTGCCCTATGCATCTCCCCAGTCTGGCTGCTCCTGAGTTACATCCTTTTATAATAAACTGGGAATCTATTAAGAAAAACATTTCTCTGAGTTCTATAGGCTGCTTTCACAAATTAACTGAACTCTAGGAGGGGGTTAGAAACCTCTAAATTATAGCCAGTTGGTCAGAAGTACAGGTAACAATCTGGATTTGCAACTTACAACTGAAGTCCAAGGAGGAGGTGGTGGAAACCTCCAGTCTGTAGGCAGTCGGTCAGAAGCACAGGTAACCTGGGCTTGTGCCTGGCATCTGATTTGGGGTGAGGGAGGAGGGAGAGAAGGCAGTCCTGTAGGACTAACCCCTTAACCTGTAAAAATCTGATGCTGTCTCCTGGTAGTGTTACAACTGAGGTGAATTGTTAGGATACCCAGCTGGGGTCCTAAGAACTGCTTGTTGGTGTGGGGAATCCCCCCGTTGCCCCACCAAACTTAGAATCAGGACCAGAACCTATTTATGCACCCTAGTCTTTTACAACCTTCCGAGCTTCCAAATGCACAAAGTCAGCATTGGAGAGACACACTACCAGACACATCCAGAGAAAATAAACACTCAGGAAATGAATGAGCTCTGGTAACATCCACGTCAGAAGCGTCTCCCTCATCTGCTGCCTTGGCTCCAGAAGTAAAAGTTTCACAGCTGCTGTCTGCAACTGAGAGGGACACTGGTCCTGCAAGGAGATGCTCTCAGGAGGCACAAACACGATCAAAATGAAAGTCATCTGGTAAAACTGCAATCCTGCTTTGTCTAACAAAAGCTAAATTGGGGAAATCGTATCATTTTCATTCAGGCAAAAATAACCACCCATTTACCCAAGCACTGGGATTCTACCATCAAAGGGAGAGAATGCTAGCCCTGCTCAAGGGCTGTGGGAGGGCACCCTGCTACAGTCCCTGGCACACAGTACAGCTCTACAGAGGGCCTGACGTGAGTAACAACTCAGTATACACCAGCAGTGGTTATTCGTTATTATTATAAAGACCCTGAGATTCCTTTGAGTCAAAGATGAAAAGACATTTTACCAAAGACGAATGTTTAAGCCAAACACGAAGCATCTGTTAATAAACATGACAAAGGAATTAACAAAGAAAGAAAGAAAACATGAAAAAAGAATGGGGGTTGGAGAAAAAAGGAAATTAAAAAGGAATTAGTTCCCTGAATCAAGTATTTTTTAAAAGTGAGAAGAGGAAGGAAATTCACCAATAAGGAAACCAATCTAAAACAAAATTGTGATGGTGATGACATCAGAATTGTGATGGTGAAAGAAAGGATAAATGTGGGGTCATGGACAATCATATCTGCCCAAGGCAAATGATGGGAAAAAAAGAAAGGTCCTGTCACACAGTTTTCCCGGTCGAACCCAAGATAAACAAATGCTTGGCCAGTATAAAAGTGGAATATTCAGAAGACTCAGGGGTAGGGAGTGGTTCAGTAGTCGAATTTCCATAACAATAATTATGTCTATATTTGTATATGATTCATGACTAGCACATAATAAATACCAAGCACAAAAGACACTATGTGCAGTACTGGGTTTGGGAAATGTCTCTATTCTCACTTTTTCTTAGCTTCCATATCCACAGGGATCTGTCTCTTCTTGGGGGGAGGAGGAGGAGGCAGCTCTTGCTTTGACCTTTTCGTAGTTACTTGTTCTCTTAGGCGAACAGTCTCCAGGAGATCCTTCTGGGGAATCTGGGACATTCCCAGCTTTGCTACTGCCTGAGTCACCTGGAATAAAAATCAGCCAGTTTCAATGCTTCCTAGCAGCTGTATTGGGATATAACTCATATGCCGTAAAATTCTCCCTTTGAAAATGTACGGGTCAATGGTTATCAGTATAGTCAGAGTTGTTGTGCCACCATGCCCGCCTTCTAATTCCAGAATGGTTTCACCATTTCAAAATGGTACCTGTTAACAGTCACTCCCCATCCTTCTCTCCCTCTTGGCCCTTGGCAACCACTCACCTACTCCTGTCTCTGTGGATTTATCTGTTTTAGATAGTTCATATGGACAGAATCATAGCGCACTTAACCTGTGACTGGTCACTTAGCACAATGTTTTCAGGGCTCATCCATGTTGTAGCATGGATCAGTATTTCATTTTATTATTGTCTAATAATATTGCACTGTATGGATATATCATATTTTGTTTATCCATATATTGATGAATATATGGGTTGTTTTTACTTTTTGGCTATTATAAATAATGTTGCTATGAACTTCAGTGTTTAAACCAAAGTGTTATTTTTGATCAACTCACTAAATTTTTTTTTAATTAATAACAGTATTTAAGATTTAAAGAGCATTTAATGGATTCACGCCAAAGTGCTATCAACTACTAAGGGTTAAATGACAGGATATTGTAAGTCTTTGGAAGACCTATTGAAATTTACTTTAGAAAACTAAAAAAGATTTTCATATGTCAAGTTTTTCAATTGTATAGTAAACCAGGTATTAGTTTAGCTACTACTTTTATTTCATAAAAACTAAAACAAACCTGAATGTATAATTTCTACTTAATGGCACAATATATTACCCAAAGCAAAAGGTACCTGGTTGGAGGAATCCTCTAGTCGCTGAACCAAAGAATCCCATCTCTGAGTCAGTTCCTCTGAGTCACTGTTGATCTTCTTCGATGCCTTAGGATTATCAAGTAATTGACCCACATCCTGGCCAATCTCACTCAGCTGATCCAACGCTTGACGCTTCATTTCCATGTCTTCCTTCAAAATCTAGTATTTCACATATTTATTAGATGATTCCCTTTTAACAGGACCTTATCTTCCTGCTCCCCAGTCAGCAAATGTAAACGTGTATTTTATAATAAAATTTACCCGATTTGCAATTCCCTAAAGCTAAAAACATATGACTTCCTGGTTCTAGATTGTTACATGGCAGCATTCTAGTGCTGGGTGATGAAGTCTATTCATAAACTGTATTACCATTGATATAAAACACGAAGACACCACAGGCTTACAAGTCAGAAACCGACAACGACCCCACTTACCGCCAGTCGTCGAACACTGACGCTCAGTTCCTTCTGGTCTCTGAAGTTGCTTGTCTGGACTTTATTTAAAGCCTCTTCTTTTTCGGTTAACCAAGCTTTCAACAAGCACTACAAATTATAAAGTTAGAAATACATTTAGAGAATCATTTGGTAATTCAGTTCAACCAAGTTCCCAAATCTCTAATTTTTGTTACTAGAGGCTTTATCCTTACTTTGGGTAAGAAGGATTTCAAATATCTAAGCCTGAGGCATGAATGATCCAGAAAGATATCTTTCTTTAAGATATTATCCTTCTCAAATTTGCAACAGATCAACCTGAAATTAGCCCCACACCTGGATAACTAGACCTAATTCTCAGCAAGGAAAGTGGATCTAAAAGGCCAAATTCAACTATCCACGTCTCCAAAAGAATGACATTAAAACTCTCTAGATGCAGAGGGAAGCTCAGAGGTTTTCTTGTCTCAGCCCCTCATTTTATGGAGGAAAGGAAGAAGCCAAGTTTTATGTCCAAGAACTCTTGGCTAGTTAACTGCAGAGCCAGATCAAAAACACACACCCTGAAGCCAGCGGTTTTTCTATGCATCTTGCCGAACACCCACACTAATGCTCTAGATTCAACAGTAATTATAATTGGAGGAGGAAGTCTGAGTATAGTCCAAAGCCACTATAAAGATCTTTAAACTTCATTGGTCAGTAATGCGTGACTCTGAGGCAGAAGACATTTAGTAATGTAGAGCGATTAAACTTGAAGGAGGGGTAGAAAACAGCATGATTGTATTGCGGTAATTTTTCCCCAAAATGTAGTATTTACCACAGAAACCTTTTTCTACATAGTTGGTTGGGGTAAGGGGACGGGGAGGAATTCTCGGTTCTGTATTTGCAAGGGAAACAACTCTTTCTCTAATTGTTTTATTTACCAGTATATTTAAAAACCATTCTCTGCCTTTATATTACACCCAAAAAAGGATGAAGATTAATAAAAGACAAACATGGAACCTGTCGTCAATGTGATAAGAGTGATAAGACATGAGTAACTGTGGCACAAGACAGAAAGTACAGACACCACAGAGATTACTTCCAGTTTTGAAACAACGGGGGAGGGGGAGGGAGTTTAGAGATGACTTTATGGTCCTTGACAGATATGTCACCAGCAAAGCCCACTGGAACCCCCAGGAAAAATAAAATGGAATCTAGGTGATAAGACCTAACCTTTTCTTTTGTTCTTAGTCTAGTTTCACGTGCCCATAGGGGGCCGTGTGCAGAAGATTTGCACCTAACACAGTGGATAAGAGTTCCCGGGGTAGAACCACTGAGCGTACCACCTAACTTGGTGCACCGTAAGCAGAAGCACCGAAAAGGACACCTCAGGGCAATATGGTGGCAGCGGGCTATGTGCAGAGATGCTGGACCCCACACCGTGACCTGGAGCTGTGAGCAACACGCCTGCGCCAGACCTGCAAGAACTCAGCCCCCTCCCCACCAACAAGAACCTCATAAAGCAGTCCTGCCAGTGGCTTGTCAGGGACAGCATGTGCTCTATAGTGTATGCTCGCTGCTCTCCATTCTTTCATCAAAGAGTAAGACCTTCCTTTGTTTCTGAAACAAACTAGACTTCATTCTATTGGCTGGAACATTACGAGGCAGGAGGACCCTTGTTAAGGCCTGACTCAAAAGGGTTGGTAACAGATGGGGAGAACTTAAAAATAAAGAGATGGGTAAAAAGGCATTCCAAGGCAGATACCACATCTTAAAAACACAGAGGCTAGAAAACTAGTTCACTCTTTCGCAAAAAAAAAACAAACAACAAAACCCAGAGGCACTCACAACGTGCCACGCGCTGGGAATAGAGCAGTGAACACATACCAGCACTACCCTGGTAGCCGTGACCGTCTAGGGATGGGCTACAAACTGGGGATTCAGGGTGTGAGCTGGGTACACAGAAGGACTGAGGAAAAGTTCAGGTCGGAAAGGTAGCTCAGTCCTTTACAGAACTACCCCACTTGCCATACTCGGTCTACGCTGCAGAAGTTTGGAGCTATTTCTCAGAGCCCATTTCTAACTATCTTAAAGCCTCTGCAACTGAGTGAACGATAGTCCCTTGAAAGACTTTTTAAGTCAGATACAGTTGATCTGTCCCTGAAATAGCAAATTATCAATTAAGTACCAATGTTGGCTTAAAGTCTACATTTTAACAAGATTCCTCCTTCCATATTACTAACAGAAAGCCATTCAAAGGTCAGTTTTAAGCCTAAAATAACAAGTGGTCAAAATACTAGCCACTCCTTATTTTTAAAAAATTCTAATTACCAAACTTTGATTCTTTCCAAATTTTAAATTATTTGACTTAGTAGAAGAGTAACACAATGGTTTTCTCTAGCAATCAATGTCTCCTACAATCATTACTAAAGTAAGATTTTAATTATTCTGTGTGACTCTTTGGCCTGAATACAAGGGTCTATGCAAATTTAAATCTTTGTAAAGTGAAAGGCAAATATTTCAGAAATCAGAATCAGGTCTATTATGCTATTCTTAATAGAAGAAGTCTAATGAAAGATTGGGGGCAGGTGGCAGTGATTAACAATTTACACCGAGACAAACTTTGCAACCTGCTTTTTAAGACATTATCTCTGCCATCATATTTAGTAAATCACAAAACATCATACTTTTGTTTTTATGCCCTGAAAAGAACATAGTTGCTTTTTGTGGAAGGAAATGAAATGCACTTAAAAGAATCAAAATAGACACTGAGATGTGGGAATAGAGTATCTGCTTATTTTCTAAACCACAACTGTTTGGCATTTTGAGGAAAAGTCTCGCTTATTTGTATTCTGCTTTGATGGTTACTTTTCTGGAAGGATGGAGATGGGCAAAGGGCCACCACCCAGGCTGAAAACTTAAAGTGGCAGCTTTGCACCAAAGGTTCGTTTGCTATGTTAATCTGTTGTGGAAAAAAATATACTATTATCCAAGTGTTAAATCAATGGTGTTGCTAACTAATAGTTTCTTGTTAATTTCAGTAGTTATTCTGGTTAAAAATCATGAAAACTTCTTGTGATTTAACGTTCACAAAGTATTGAGTGGATTCATTTAGTCCTTACGTACTGAGCATAAACCATATGCTAGGCACTGTGTTGATACAAGTTCAAATACTTACCCGACACAAATGCAGTAAGAATTATACCAACAAAATCCTAAAAGAAGCACATCTAAATACTAACATTCTAAGTAATGAACAAGGTCAAATTGTTATTACAATGGAGCTAATTTATAATCCAATCTCTATGAATAAGCTGCATGATAAAATGGACAGAGAACCAATTTTTAACATAATAAATATCTGTAAATTTTCCCCTTGAAGAAAAGTAAACAAAAGGCTTTAATGCCATAATTAACAATCAGCTATTTTTCAGCATCTGTTCTGCCTATCAGGATAACAGTTTCATACCTGTTCTTCCAATAACTCCTGCCACAAAATATTGATTTCCTGTAACCTGTTCCAGCGTTCTTCAGTCCACCGGCACACAGCTGTCCAACGTTCACCAAGTTTCTAGGAAAGGAAGAAACCACCATCTGTCAACAAAGCCTTAAGAGATAGTTACCCCATCCTTAAAGAAATTCTTGACATCCATTGTTCTCTATTAAAGAGAAGCAATTCATGAAAAAAAATTTTTATGAAAGTTGCTTTAAATAATACAGATGAACTCTATAAAGTTATAGATGAGAAAAACTAATTTTCATAGAATTTAACTAATTATTTCACATTGCAAAGCTAGGAAGTGGCCCGACTAGAACTCCATCCTATAACTTTTAACTCAAATTCCTGTTCTTTTCCATTTTATTGTGATTTTTATGTGAGAATTTGACATTTTCACATATACCTTCAAAATAAAGCAAACATATCTGCTTTCGGTGCTTC